TGCAGGACGGAGGTGGTGGTGTCTGGGTGCTGTGCAAAGGCCCCGCCCCCCTCTCTAGCACTCCTAGTCCCTGCTTTCTCCCCAATTCGCTTCTTACAGCCCTGTGCCAAGCACTCAATTACCCACCCTGCTACTGGCCCTTTCCAGCCAAATGGGTACCAGATGCACAGCACAGACCTTGGACAAAGGGGGGAAGAAAAACTACTCAGACAAATCAGTAGAGAAAACACAATTAGGCAAAGCAAACAGAGCTGGAGAGGCAGTAGGCCGGCCGGTGTCCAGGAGCCCACCTGCAACACATTTCCAGGAGCCCCTCGGAAAACTATCCCCTTCTCACAGGGGCCAGATGGGAGCCCCCCACTCCCCGCCTCCCCCAGCAAAGGCAGGCGCAGGCACAGCAAATCAAGACAGCCGCACGCAGGGGCTGGGGAAGAGGGAGCTAAGTTTGCTTGTGTTCCACCCTAGGGTCTCCAGGAAGGATGCAGGACCTGTGGCTGCTGTCAAAACACGAGAGCTCAGTGCCAAGAAGCGACCAGAAAGTTGGCACAGCTCCTTCCTTATCTTGCAGGCTCGACCTCCAGCCAGAGCCAGGAGTTGCAAACACAGGGAAAGGCAGGAGTAAGGGCCAGGTCTGCAGTAACTCTTTCTCTGGGAGGCCTGCTCACATCAATGAGCTGCAAAGAACAGCTGCCTCCCTGGGTGTGGGTGGTGGTCATGGTGGAGGAGTGGGGGGGCAGTCCCTGACGCCTGCTGGGAGCATCAGGCAGGCCTGGAGGAGCTCTGGCCAAGGGCAAACACCTGGTGCACCCCTGCCAGTCCCTGGGAATAGCAGCTGAGAGGCAAGATTCTTTCAGCCTCCACCAGCATCACGGATACTAAAGTGACGTGGAAGGGCTGCCTCTTCCCTCACAGGGCAGTTCAGGCCGGGAAGCACCGTCCCTAGGATCAGACTGACACAACCTCAAATCCCAGTTCCACCACTTACAAGCTGTGCAACCTTGGGCAAGTTACTGAACCTCTCTGGGCTTGCTTTTTCTTGTGTCATGTGGCGCTAGCACACCTAAAGCAGTAAGCCAGGGGGTGTACGGGACTGAACACATACCTGGCACACCGGTGGCGCTCAAGAAATGGCAGATCTGCGCTGAGCTTATTAGAAGGACCAGCACACTCAGAGAAAAAAGGAGGTGGGACAGAGGAGTGACTACAGAGGAAAAATCTGCAGCTGAGAGGTGTGAGGAGATGAAAGAGCTTCAGTTGGGAAAAACACAGCAAAGTGTGGCAAGAGCTCCCATCCGCACCCTCTAGTGAGAAGAGGAAGGGAGTGCTGCTGGCTTGTTGCAGGGGAAATGTTCTAATGTAGACACCAAACCGGCTCCAGCCCACATGCCCCGCGCAGCTTCTACGCCCGAAATGACAGCCCCAGACTTCTCTTGCTTCTCCTAAGCCGGCTCCCTGCGCCTTTCCCTACCTGTCCCCCAGAGGGAGGCCTTCCTCATTCTAGACTCCTTCTCCATAAGGAAATGATGCCAGAGGGAAGCAGGATTCCATTCGGAAAGGAAAGTGCCCCAAGGCCCCACTGGAGGCTCAAGCTGGGTTTCAGGACTCAGTCCCAGGAGCGGGCTGACCTCTGAGGTGGGGCCAGAGGTCACAGCCTCTGTGTAATTGTGATACCCCGTGCCCCTGACTGTGGTCAGCATCCGAGGACCGCAGAGCTGTGGCCCCAGGCCTCGCAGGGTCACTGGAGGGGGAGTCACGTGGCTGACACCCAGGTAAACCAGACCCAGGGAACCCCTCCATGGAGCCTGTACCTGCGGATTTAACTCAACAGTGTAGTAAGAAGCACCTCTGGGGATTCTAGCTGTGTTTTCTTAAACTTAAAATCCAACTCTGAGTTGCCACTAGTCAGAGTCCATCCAGCCACTGTCAGGCCCTCCTTCCAGGCTGGACTGGAAACAGGGAGGCTTATTTTAGGAAGCGCCTCCAACTGCCTGGGATGGATTTCACTCCCCTCTGGATTTCACTCTTTCTAGAGAAGTGGCTGCAACGGGGAGTGAGGGCCACGCTCTCTTTCCCCAGAGCACCAACATCTTTAGGTCAAGAGAAAAATCTTCCCTTCTCCTCACTCACTGCCCACATGGGTCCTAGTGTGTGTTAATTGCTGCCCGCCACAAAAGATATGTCTTCTTAGGGTCCGAGAAAGTGGCCTTATTTGGAATAAGGGTCTTTGCTGCTGTGATTGGGAGTGGAGATCACCCCGAGTAAGAGAAGGCCCTGAATTCCATGCCCAGTGTCCTCAGAGGAGACAGACAGCACAGAGGCCGCGTCACGCCAAAGCCCAGCAAGGCCAGGCCTGCCCCGGCCCCGGAGCTACGAGCAGGCATGGAGCCTCTGGGAGGAAGCAACTTTGCCCACCGCTTGAGCGGGACTTGGGTAAGACAGAAGCGTGAGAAAACACTTTCCTGGTATCTTAAGTCAACCAGTTGATAGTATTTTGTTACTAAAGCCCTTAGTAGGCTTTCCTCTATGACATCAAACTGGGGAAGGGCAGTGTTTTTAAATCTGTGCTTTTGCTTTCCGCCTGCAAAAGCCTCTGAGACACAGAATCTTAAGGCCCTAATCCCTACTAACAAGGGGGTGGGGGAGTTAAATGAAGGAGAACATAGGCAAAGTAAATGCTCAATAAATTACCCTGTCTCCAAACCTGTCTGGAACCTTTACTTGGGACAAAGGGCTGTGGTGAATGGGGTCGGGGAGACCCAGCTCACAGCATGGAGGCCCTGGGCCCTCACGGGCTTGAGGAACAACACTGGAAGGTGGAGGTTCGCAGGCCTCAGCAGTGACATGACTGATATGTCACCATCTCTCAGGAGGCCAGGCCAGGCCAATCCACCTGGTTCTAAATTGGCTCATAATTCTCCCAGTCCCTTCTGTGAGGACGCTGCACCTAGGCGGGGCCGGAGGCTCTGGTGGAGCTTTTGATCCCAAGGGTGAGAGTAGAGCTGAGCTGTGTGAGCAAAGGCGGCGAGAGCTCAGCCTTGCTCCTCCTCCCTTCATCCCATCTCTGAGTATTTGTGCCCGGATTGATATTGCAAATCAAATTCAAAGTGCCCCTACTCCCCCCTTTAATTTCTGGTTCTCCCCTCTTTCTGAAATCTGTTTCCCACTCACAGTCAAGTCTTCTGAGGTGTGGCTTTGTGCCCTTAGGACATGTACCCGGACATGTACGTCGCCAGTCACCGATGCATCCATGCGGCCCGACAGGATGCCCAGGCGAGGGAATGACCGCTCAGGACACGCGTGCTGTCCCAGGACAGCAGGACGTGGGCTCATACAAACCAGCGGCCAGAGACCAGCAAGAAAGACAAACACTGGATGGTGTCACTTCTATGTAGATGGAGAAACCAAACAAAGGGTCAGATAAAACCAAACCAACGACAAACCCTCGAAACCTGACTGTGGAACTGAGGTTACTAGGGCAGGGGGCGGGACTATGCAAGGCTGTGGGAGTCGGGGTGGTGGCTGTGGTAACATACACCTGGAGGGGGTGATCTTATTTTTTTTTAAAAGATTTTTTTATGCATATGAGAGCTGGGGTGCAGGCCAAAGTGCAGGGGGTGAGAGGACTCATCAGGGACAGAGTGGGGAGCAGAACAGACAGAGTGACTGAAATACACTGCTGGGGGAGCAATGGGTGAGTCAGGAGAGGTCTGCTGCACCACGTGGATCACCTCCCTGGCCGGGGATTGAATTTGTGCTGCAGTGGCTGCAGACAGCTTCATAGTACTGAGACATCCCGTTGCGCTACCAGGGAGGCCCTTGGAAGGGGTAATCTTATACCTCAAAGTCATATACAGTGCTGAAAGCCAATGTTCCCCAATAATAAAAAAATAGACACCCTCCGGGCAGAGCAAACTGGACAGGGTAGAATAAAGGAACAGGGTGTGCATTTTTTCAGGAGACCTAGAGCACCAAACTGCTCTGGGACCCACCCTGGACTTCACAGCTAGCAGAGTGAGCTGGGGTCAATGGGAAAGAAACACCAAGAGGAGAAATTTGTAAGGAAATGTAATTGGCTTCTCTGATGAATAACCCAGAGGCTCCATCTGACTAGTTTTCTATTTTGCAAGTCTTTTCCAAGGCTGTAGGGCAGCCCCACCTCCAGAGGAGAAAGGTGTCCTGGGCTTTCAGGTCAGAGACCCTTCTGGACTGTGACACTGGTCACTCACCCGAAGTGACTGGACACAGCAGTCACCCTTGTGCTCGGGACTGGTACGTTTCTTGCAAAATCTTTAAGTTACTCTGGGAGTCAAAGCAGAACTGGCCCCACCTCTCATGAAGCCAGGCCTGTTTCAGAACAACAGCTGATGCAGACAATTTCCCTGATGGTGGGGCGTCATCCAGAATGTGTCCAGTATCTGCCCCTGTGTCGTGCACTTAGTAGGTGCTCAGCCCTGGTGTGAGATTTAACGCGTAGGTTTGCACATCAGGTGGTTCTGACAGAAGAGCTGTCAGTGGTGGACGCTCTCAACCGGGGGCTTCAAACCCAGGGCAGAGCTGCGTGCAGGAGGGAGTGATGGTGCTGGTAAGCAGCAAGGCGGGCGGGGAGAGGAAAGCAGGACTACCAGTGTTCACTTCCTCAGATAAGGACAAGTACTTGAAAGCCCTACATGAAAGGAGAAACACTTGATGGTTTTAGAAAAACAAAAATAAATAGCCATGCTCTCAGACAATGTGTTTTAGATTCTTTTCAAGCATAAAGAAAAAAAAGGAAGGGATGACCCCCAAATTTGGAATTTCCAGCAGAATTAGTTATCAGCCCGCCTATTTCAGATCCTTCCCAGCTGCTAACAACAAAGCACAGCCACCTGCTGCTTCAAAGCTCCCCTGGTGGCAACCCCCTGGACCTCCCAGCCCACCTGGAGAGAGAGTGGGCTCTGGGTCACTGCGCCTGAGCCAGGAAAAGCTGAGCCCCGGCCAGAAGCCACGGCCCCCTTCCTGATTGCAGGTGTACAGCCACTTCCCCAGCTGGCCCTGCACCCTGGCTGCTTCTGTTCTCTGTTGAACGCGCACGATCTGGGGTTCCTGCCCCTTCCTGAGGTAGGACACGTGTTTGACAAGATGTATTTGAGCAGCATGTTCCAAGGACATTCTCCCGGACTGGGGGAGGTGGAATGTCTTTGTTCCTGAAAATTAAGAAATAATGCCGCTCTAACTTGGCAGGAGGAGGCAGAGGGCAGCGACCAAGGACGAGGGGATCAAGACTTATGTTGCAAAGCGAAGACATGCATACGATGCCTCAGCAATCACATGCAAGAAAAGTCTCTACCAAATCCCAGACAAGGGCCATATGCCTGTGAGTTGCTGCCCAGGAACATGGGCTAAAATGAGATTTTTCTCACCCTTACTCCCAAGTCCTGCAACATTTTCTAAATATACCTAACTCCATAGCACAAGTGAGTGCTAATCTTAGCCTCTACGAAGTGATGAACGTGGATATCCAGCATCTCTTCTTTAGCAATTCGTAATTCCCAGGTACAAATAAATCTGTGACCAACAAAACTGTCCTTATGTTTTCCCGGTGATCCTTCAGGAATCCGTGTATTTTAAAATCCAGGTCTTGCTTCTGCATAACTATCCACAGATAATTTGTGGTTTGACTGTGGAGGGTTCTGTGTAATATCCAAAGGTTCCAAGAAGTTATTTTTTCTGCACCCATGAAAAGTTAGGTGGCAAAACAAAGCCCACCAGGAGACTGAAGCCGGCTGCCAGCCAACTGAAATCAGCCACTGCCTGGGGCTCAGAGCCCTCCTCATCAACCTAACCTCACCTGCTCCACTCCCTGGACTGGTAGGTGGCATTCTCACCACATTGCCCTAGAACTCAAGAAAGGGATGTTTTTAAATTTCCAGTTGTTCATGTGTCTGTTGTGCGCGTGCACACACACACACAGAGTTGCATTTTAATCCTGTGTTATAAAACACCTACAAGAAACTATCATGGTGGATACAATCAGAGATCTTTTAGGGTTTACCCAAGTATTTTCCACTTTGTTTTTTATTCCTTCTCAGGTCTTAGATTTTCCATCTGGAATCGCTGTCTTCCTGCCTAAAGCAAGTACATCCTTTGCAATGTTCTATGGGTGAGTCTACTAGGTGGCAAAATTGCCCCATCATTTTGAGATCTAGATATTATGATGCTCGCATTTCTTCTTTATTCTTAAAAATTACCTTTGGTACGAATTCCTGGTGGGTAGATTACTGCTCTTTGAAAACATTGACCTCTTCATCAGCCGCAGCTCACCAGCCTCCACATGGCCACTGAGAAGTTTGTTGTCAGTCTAGTCATTGTTCCTTTGATGGTTAGCTTTCCTCCCCTTGTAAGATTTTCTCTTTGGTTTGTTTTTCTGTCATTTCATTGTGATGGGATGGATTTCTTTTTATTTATGCTGTTTGGCACCTGATGGGTTCCTTGAAACTCTGCATTTAGTTCTGGAAAATTATAAACAATTATTTCCTATATTTGCCTCTGTCTCATTCTCTCCCTGTTCTTCTGAGACTCAAAGTATTTGTGGTCTTTTTGCTACAAATAATAATAACCATTTGTGTCTCTCATCTTCTCTGTATTTTCTTTAACAAACTGATTTATTTTTGGGTCTTCCTCTGCAATAGTTTAGATAATTTGGCTTTCCTCAGTAGGAAAGCAAATCTAAATGTATGCTTACCATTTAGAACTTATTATATGTTAATTAAAAATAACCAGCCAGGAAAGAAGAAAACAGAAAACAATAATAATCTGAAATACCATTATCAGAGGTCTAGTGTGAAAATCATAGTAATGTCTTTTCAGAATTTTTTTATACATACACTCACACATAAATTATTCTAAGTAAGTATAAACCTATATTACTAGCTAGTCTGTAACTTTCATTCAATGGTATCATTCTTCTTATTATTACAATTAGATATAATTTATAATGTTTTCATAATAATAATATCTAACGCTTATTGAATACTTACTATGTATATGGACTTTCAATGGGTTAACTCAATTTAATCTTTGTAACAACTTTATGAGATAAATTTTATAGATTATAATGCTATTTTATAGATTGGAAATTTAGGCAAAGAGACAGTAAACAATGTTCTCACAATTATATAGTGTGACTCCAAACTCAGTCTGGCTTCAAAGCTTCAGTGCATCGTTTTCCACTGTATGGATGTTCTTAATTTATTAAACCAAGACTCACACTGATGCGTAAATCAATTATTCACAAGGGCTTTGTTTTTTGCTATTATATAAAGTAACTTTTATAAATCTTTGCCATCTTTATGTACTTGGTTATTTATATCCTCAGAGAAAATTCCTACAAAGAGAATTGCCACATCAGTTATATGCATTTAAGAGGAGGTTTTGTACTATATTGCCAAACTCTTGTCCAGAGAGATTTATCAAGTCCCCAGCCTTTCACCAGTCTACCAAAGTGCCCATCCACTGGCATCCTTTCTAGCACTGAGTTTCTAGCACTGAGTTTTGTCAATATTTTCCTTGCATGCTCTGAGCCTTGACAAATACTGTCTCAGAATTATTTGCATTTCTTTTCAAACTGCGTTTATTGCACTGTTACTATCCAATGAGCTACCTGGGCTGCAGGTGGTGTAATTGCTCTTTTCAGCTTCTGCCTTGATTCTTCCTTCTCTTCATCAGTTTGTCCTGTGGGAAGTTTGGCTTTTGGATTACGTTTTTTTTTTTTTTCAGAACAGAAATCTGGGAGCCTTCCTGGTGGCGTAGTGGTTAAGTCTCAGTGCTAACACCACTAAGGCCTGAGTTCAATCCCAGGCCAGGGAGCTAACCCACATATGGCACAGCAGACCTCTCCTGTCTCGCCCGCTGCTCCCCTCAGCAGTGTATTTCACTAGATCCGCCTGTTCTGCTCCCCCACTCTGTCTCTGGTGCATCCTCTCCCTGCCCCCAGCCCAGCACCATAGCCTAAACCCCAGTTTTTATATGCAAAACAAAAAACAAAAAAAACACAACCCAGAAAACTTCCTTCAGGATGCAGGACCATTCAGTCTTCCTAACTCTGCTTTTCTGATTGGGATGCAGTTACCTGAGTGACTAAGACACTAATTTCAGCGCTGCTATTCTTTTCCCTCTATGTTCCAGAATCTGCTCACTTCCTCTCTCCTTTCTAATCAAAGAAACTGCATGATTGGCAGGCTCCCAAGAGTTTTTTCCAAGCCCACACAATCTACTTATGGTGTGTGAGCTTTTAAACCAGTTTCATTAATGAAGTGGACTCAGATGGCCCATCTAAGAGCTATGTTATGGTTGAAGAAATTCAGACTAGCAGCCAAAACAGAATTTCCAAGGTAACATTAACTTTCTCGCTTTCTTCTTTGCTGCCTCCCTCACAATCTTAAATACCATGAAGGTGATACACATTCTACAAGAACTGTTCTAAAAATCCCGCTTCTCTCCTTCTAAGTCTTTTATTATATATCCCACCCCTTCTACTATTTCTCTTCCAAAATTCCCCCCTACATCTTGCCTTTCCCTTCTTTTAAATCTGCGTCTCGAAAGCTCAAAGAACATCTCTAAAAATGGCAGACTTCCTTGGAGGAGGAAGGAGAGGAAAGCCCTGAGCAGAGGAAACAGAAAACACCAGGTCCCTCTTCTAAAGGACATGGAAATAGTGGAAAATGGAAACATCACACTCCGATAGATTTGCCCCACCAGAAACACAAATGCAAGGTGTTTGCTGAGTGCAAGTACTTTCTGTACCTCCCCTTCTGATATGCCTATGGCCAGGAGGAAGGTGTCCCTGCTGTTGGGGGGTGGGGTGGTCAAGAAGGAAGGGGTCAGAAGGGATTTCTTGCCTTGGGGAAGAGGGTGTTGGGACAGTCCTCAGACTATGTGTCACTGAGGTTACACACTCATGCACTCATGTGCTACACAATTACATGCATGTTCCTGTGTGTGTATGTAAGTATGTGAGTGTGAATAAAACTTTGTAGCAGAATTATGGTCATACTTAGCATGTAAAACTTTGCACCTCCTCCATTTACAGTATTTTCAGCATGCTAAATTTTTTTCAAAATTTTATTGTCAGTGGGTATCTAATTAATCTATTGCATGTATGAACCAAGTTTATTCAACTATTTCCATCTCACTGGAGATCTAGGCTGTTTCTAATTTTTCACTGTTATAAATACCACCACAACGAACAACTTTCATGTAACTCTTTGTTTTCATCTCTGCTTATTTTCTCAGCATAGATACTAAAATGTGTAAATGCCATCTTAAAGAGCAGGTATTACCAAACTGCTTTTGAGAAAGATCATCCCAACTCACAGTGTCATCAGTAATGCATACAGAACTGTTGTCACAACACTTTGATGCTTTTATGAAATTTAAATTTAATTTAGTAAGTAATCTGAATATAAAGCAAAATTAAAAAAAAAATTACTGCAGTGAAATTTCTCTTCTCTTCTCCAGAGACACTTTAACTACTTTCAAAGACATTCTGGTATGTGTTAGATTTATTTTCTCTTATGAAAATATTACTTATTTCAGTTTTAGAAATTGCATGGATCTCATTCCATGTCAGCAAATTAAATTCTCACATATTGTATATTTTAATAGCTGCCTGGTACTCTTATCGTGCTGCAATTTTCTCAAGATTTATTTATTTATGCATACAAGAGCTGGGGTACAGGCCAGAGGTGCAAGGCATGAGAAGAGTCACCAGAGACAGAGTGGGGAGCAGAACAGGGAGAGGTACCGAAATACACTGCTGAGGCAAGCAGAGGGCAAGACAGGAGAGGTCTGCTGCGCTATGTGGTTACCCCCTAGCTGGGGATCGAACTCTTGCTGCAGCAGTTGTGGATAGCTTTATAGTGTTGACGCTTAACCTTGATGCCACCAGGGAGGCCCTGTGCTGCAATTATTAAAAGCAACCCTCTATTGAGAGATATTAGTGCTATTAAAAAAAATGCATGCCATTTTACACACATGCAAGGATACCTAGGTTAGGTTCCTCGAAGTAGAATCAATGCTTTCAAAGGTGTGTACAGTCATAACTAGATATTAACAAAATGCTGTGCTGTGTGAACGTCATGCTGCTTTATATTCAAAACAACAACAATGAGAGGTCTGTTTGTTCATACTCTGTTCAGGTGGCTGCTGGCAAATGATGAGCCACTGAGTTTCTGGGGTGGAAAAACTTGATCTGTAGCATTTTCCAATTTCCGTGATATAAATACTTTCAGCACGGCTGATTTTAAGCTAGCGATGTGAGGTGCTGAATGGGGAGCTGGGCAGAGACACCCCCACAAGCAGCTCTGTCGCTGTCCTGACCCAGTGTCAGCAAGTATTTCAGTGCTCATCAATCTGACAGCAACAAACGCATTCTATACCTTTCTAGCGAGATGCTTGTGAACACTGTCCTTCCTAAGAGCTGTTTATGTCCTTTGTTATTTTTCTTTAGGCATATTTTCTTATTTATGTTTAGAAGCACTTTATATAGTGATTACCGATTTCTTAGATAATTGGAATAAGCAAATATTTTCCTTGGTTTGCTTATCTTTTGAATTTTGTTCTTATCACAAAGCAGTCCTTAACTTGCACATAGTTTTATTTATGCTCCTTTTCTGAGAGCTACTTGAGTTATACTTTATAGTTTGATCCTCTCTATTCCAAGATTAAAAACATAATGATTCTCAAGTGATTTCTTCTCATGCTTTTATGATTTTATTTTTTACATATTAAAAACTCGGAAACAATTTTTTTTTTCTCTTTGTGTGTTGCATTCTGGGCAGTACATTCTCTAAGTGTCAGTGGGGTTAAGTTGATTGACAGTGCGTATAAAGTTGCCGAAGATTACAGAATTATTTTTGTCCGCTGGCAAATAATTTTGTCTATTAACTGAAGTCTTCAACAATATCCATAGATTTGTCCTTTCTTCTTTTTTGGCTTTATCAGTTTTTGAAGGTTCTGTGGTAAGGTGCACGCACCCGTGGCTGATATGTCTTGTTGATATTCTGATACACTGACAATGTATAAATGGATTTCATTTCTGGAAATATTTCCTCTTCTGAAGTCTATCATATTAATATGAGCACTCTTGCTTTTTTTTTTTTT